AATGAGGATTTTCATTTTGGGTTATTGGACTTCAGGATGAATTTTTTTAGAACATCCTTGTTCATTTGCAGAAATAGTCTCCTAGGTTGAAGCTCCCATCTGTTCGTTTCTGCTTTCTGCATTTATGTTTTGTTCTTTATTCCTGCCTCAGTCAAATGGTTTGCCAATCCAGAAATCTTCCAGAAATGGCATTTTGAGGCAGCATTTCCTGTGTGTGGCTCATCTGAAACACTTTCTCCTTTCCTTTTCTCTCCTTTCTGCCTCCTCCCTCCTCCCCCAGTCTGTAATTCCTAACTTCAGTTACTAACAAATTAATTGAGATTATTGTACCATCAACATTATCATGCTCAGATGATCACAATATGTTGGGGAAGAGTCAACAGACCTTTTGTAAAAGATCCTCAATAATTTATTAGAATTCTTTGAGGGACTCATCAAGCATGCGGACAAAAGCCATCCTGTTGATATAGTATACCTGGACATTCAAGAGCCTTTGAGAAGGTCTCTCACCAAACAATCATAGGATAAGAGGGAAGTCCTCTCATGGATCAGTAACTAGTTAAAAGATAGAAAGAAACGGTCAGTTATCGCAGGGAAGAGAGGTAAGTAGCAGGGTTCCCCAAGGATTTATGCTGTGACCTGTGCTATACAACTTTTTTTAAATATTCTGGAAAAGGGGAATAAACAGTGAGGTGACAAAGCTTGCAGACAGCACAAGACAGTTAAGTCCAAAGCTGTCTGCAAATTGTTACAAAGAATATCACAAAACTGGGGGAATGGGCAACAAAATGTCAGAGGAAATTGTGTTGATTAATGCAAAGTAATGGACACTGGAAAAAATGTTCCCAACATACAATATGATAGGGTCTAAATTAGCTGTTACCATTCAAGGAAGAACTTTGAGTTATTGTGGATGGCTCTTTGAAAACATCTGTTCATTATGCAGCAGCAGTCAAAAAAAACTAACAGAAGGTTAGGAACTATTAGAAAAGTGAAGATAATAAGGCACAAAATATTATAATGCTGCTGTATAAATCCATGATACGCCCAGACTAAATACTAGTGCCATTCTGGTCATCTCATCTCAGAAAGATATTAAAACTGAGAATGGTACATACAGAGGCAACAAAAATAATTAGGAGTTAAGGAATACCTTCTATAAGAGAATTAAAAAGAGAGATTGTACCGTGTAGAAAAGAGACAATTAAGAATTGATGTAATAGAAGATTATAAAATTCTGGATGTTATAGATTAGACTAATGGTCTGACCCACCCAGGATAACCTTTTTTGTTATGGATGGAGGGGAAAACGAGGAAAAGAGGATAAAAAAGTAAGTGTGGAGATAAAGATTGACGCAGAGGGTGGGGGAGGTGGAAAGGAAAAAAGTGTTTCAGATGAGCCACACGCAGGAACTGCTGCCTCCAAAAAGGCATTTCTAGAAGATGTGTCAGGATTGGTGAACCACTTGACTAGGGCAGGAATGAAAAAACAAAGCACAAATGCAAAAAGGAGAAATATATTGGTGCCGTGCTGCCACAGTTCTCAGAGAGGAGCAGGTGGAAGATTCAGCCTGGGAGATCATTTCTGCCAATGCACAGGAATGTTGGTAGCCTCTCTCATCTCGCAGACACCATCACTATCCTGGTCACATGGCCAATAATATATTCCAACTGCTCTTATCTTACTGTGCATATCTTCACCACTGTCCTCTTTTTCCTTCATCACACTTCTCTCTGGGTATGTCTACACTACTATTTCAAAGTAGGAGGGTAATATAGGCATACCGCACTTGCAAATGAAGCCCGGGATTTGAATTTCCCGGGTTTCATTTGTATAAGCCGGGCGCCGCCATTTTTAAATCCCGGCTGGTTCGAACCCCGTGCCGCGCGGCTAGCGCGTCTACATGCGGCACGAACTAGGTAGTTCGATCTAGGCTTCCTAGTTCGAACTACCTTTACTCCTCGTGGAATGAGGAGTAATGGTAGTTCGAACTAGGAAGCCTAGTTCGAACTACCTAGTTCGTGCCGTGTGTAGCCGCGCGGCACGGGGTTCGAACCAGCTGGGATTTAAAAATGGCGGCGCCCGGCTTATGCAAATGAAGCCCGGGAAATTCAAATCCCGGGCTTCATTTGCAAGTGCAGTATGCCTACATTACCCCGCTAGTTCAAACTAGCGGGGTAGTGTAGACATACCCTCAGTATTCTTTTGTTGTTTCTCTCTGTTTCACTAAGTGTTACTGCCTTCAGCCTGTGCTCCTTGATTTCTGATGGGAAGGGGAACACTTTCTGGAAGTGCTGCAGCAATGCACTATGTATTCCTGAAAGAATTTTGTGCCATCACAGAATGCAGAATTTTGCAGAATTCCCTGATTTCCCTGCAGAATTTTTGGCTGTTTGTAGGGACCACTAGACTTTGCAGAGCCTAGCATGCAGAGAGCAGAACACTCAGCTTGGTTAGGCTGGAGGTTGCCCAGTCTTTGATACTCATTCTCCAGGGTTGGAAGAGGGCCGGCCTGGGAGAGCCAGTTAGTTCTGGCAAAGGATGAGGAAAGGCAGGGCTGTACCACACCATGTCCACCAGCAGGACATTAAAGGAGTAAAGGCTCTGGGCTGAGGGCTGCCCCACAGATGTGCTGTATGAGGAGGGAAGAGCTGGTATCTTGGGGCTGCTTTTTGGCTGGGCACTGTAGGGGTGGGGCTGGTGTCTAGGCTGGGGGCTGCCCTGCAACTGGGCTCTGTGAGGTTGGGGAGACTGGTGTCTGGAATAGGGTGTGCCCCCAGGCTAAACTCTGGAAAGAAGGGGGTGTGGGTTAGGGAGTACTCTCCAGCTGGACTCTGAGCATATGGGAGTGTGGGAATCTGTGCTTCGGGGGGTCTCACACAATCTCCTCAAACTCTCCCTTCCTCAGCTAGAACTGGGCTGTTGGAGATTTCATTAACACTTTACTGTTAAGGGAAACTTTTTTGCTGCTGTCTGTATTGTTGGCATACTTGTTGATAAGCATTTTGAAATAAATTACTAAAATAATTAAAACTGGAGTGATTATGTTGTGTTATTTTGACAAATAAAATATGCAGAATTTTTAATTTTTAGGCACAGAATTCACCCAACAGTAACTATGACAGAAAGGAACCAGACAGGAAGAGCAAAGCCTGAGCAAACAGTAATGGAGTGCAGGCTACAGATGGTGGCATAGTTTTATCTTTGTCTGCACATCATCTTGTCATCCCAGATGATGGCAGAGAGGATAACGGGTCCTTCATTTCTCTCTTTTCCCTCAGCAGAGTCCTGATAGTCATCAAAAAGTCTATGGAGCTCTGAGTAAAAAGTTTTCATCCTGTGACTGGTACCCAGCTTGCTCTGCAGCATCAAGCAATATTAATAGAACACTGATCAGTGAATTCACCTGCACAGATTTCTGGGGCAAATAAATTTTTTGCATCGTGTCCATCTTGGAGTCAGAAGGACAAAATAGCCAAAATATGGACTATTTAAATAAAACAAACCTGTAAATAACAGTATGAACTTAGCCTATCAGCTCTTTATGACAGGGGTTGTCTCTTCTCTGTAAGGGTGCGTCTACAAAACACCCTAAACTCAAAATAAAATACACAATTTGTGCCATGCAAATTGCGTATCTTATTTCAAAACTATTTAAAAATAGCTTATTTTGAAACTTGGTGTGTCTACACCATGCCAAATTTCTAAATAATATGCTCTTTCAAGCCCTTATCCCTCATGCAATGAGGTTTACTGGGATGGAGAAATAGCATGCCTGAATTATTTTGAAATAACGGGCAGCTTATGTAGACATGTAGATTCTGGTATCCCAAAATGGCCGTGCGGTGTAGACATACCCTAATTGTACATTTCCAGACACAAGTGAAACTAGATTCTGACTGCAGCCCTGGGGTGCTAGTAGCACACACTTAACACAAATAGCCTTCATGAGCTTTTTTAAACTAAATGTATTTTTATTGTGCATTTCTTGACTTTTTCTCTTCTTTATCTCACAGCGTCATTCTTTTCCTACATTTATACTTCCACTTTTCTGTTATTCCCTCTCTTTCTGCCTTATCTGTCTGTCTCACTATTCACATTTTTTCTAGTCTCCAGTCATTCCTTTCCTTTATTTTAGTGTGTGCTTGGGCACCATTTACAGAAAGTAGAGAAGTGTATTCCCTATATTTATTATGGTGTATACCTTCCCCAGTGTTGAAACCATCAAGACTCTAATGGCATAGTGTATGTGCATGTGTATGTCTATATATATGCATGTATTGATACATATACATCCAACTCTCCTAAGAGATCATCTTTTGCAAAAAGGAAAAGAGAGAGAAGTGTCCATCTGTGCATACTGATCAGTCTCTCAGGATGTGTTCATATGTGCACAAAAACACACATCTCTCTTTCCTGCCAAGCCCACTCCCAGGTGATAGGTGCCTTGCTTACCACATGATCTTCAGGACCTTTCATCTTGTCTTCCAACCTTAGGGCTTCTTTCTTTTGGCAGGGTAGGGTGATTCAGTGAGTTTGTGTGAAAGGTGTTATAATCTGGCACAGTGGATTCTGGGGTATCAAACTGAGCGTGAAATTTTCAAAAGGTGATCTCCACATGTGAGAAAAATGAACTTGGTGTATGTCTTAGGTGTCTGTCAAGACTTAGACAATGCCAATGCAGGGAGGTAACCAAAACGTAGAAGTTTTTATTCAGAAAAATGTCAGGGTAACAAGATATGAAGTCTCCTGGGTTTCAACCCATATATAAGGCTGCTCCTACTGCAAACCTGGTCATATGAATTTACTCTCTTCCTGAGTCAGCTGGTTTCAGAAAAGTGTGACAGTCAATGGGAAAGTTCAGCCAAACATAGAACATCTTTATTAAATATGGAATATTAGGTGACCTTGCAAAAGTTATGTCGGTAACAAATGAAAATGTGATTTTTGTTATTCCTATTTCCAAAAGTAAATGTTTCCATGATGTCTTTTTTTCCAGATCACCTCTCTTGTGACACTCCAGCTTTTAACATTGGTTGGCCATGATGACCAGCTTGATGGACCAAAATACAAATGTACTGTGTCTCTAGACTTCATCAGGGCAATTGCAAGGTAAGAATGTTAAATAACATTTAATTGCATGCTCTGACCTTCATAGAAGGTTTAGATTTCAAAACCAATTCTTTGTCTAACCATTTATACTGTTTCCTGCCTCATCTCAAAAAAGATATACTGTCATTGGAAAAAGTTAAGAAAAGGGCAACAAAATTATTAGGGGATTGGAACAGGTTCTATATGAAGAGAGATTAAAAAGACTAGGACTTTTCAGTTTAGAAAAGAGGAAACTAAGGGGAGATAAGACAGAGGTCTATAAAATCATGACTGGTGTGGAAAAAGTGAATAAGGAAAACTTATTTGCTTGTTCTGTTGTACCAAATAAAAGCAAGCAGGATCTTATGAGGGGGATAAGGCAAAAAGCCACATTTATTGTAAAGATAATAATAAAAACAAAGAAAAGATAGAAGCAAACAATGTTGTTTAACTACTTATTCCTAACACTACTTAACCCTTATACACTTGTATGTATATTATATATATATATATACATTCATTCATACATCCATTCATTCAAGTTCTGTGTATAGTTACCAGCCTGGAAGTTGCTTGTGACAGAATACTGGCCAGGTATTCTGTACACAAGTGATGGTAGTGGGGAGCGAAGTCCTGATCAGATG